CTGTTATTTTCTGAAACGGTGCTCTCAGGGCGTTTTAAACTTTCTGTTCTTGGAGTAAAAGTCTTCTCATTGATTATTGCACTAAAAGGCTTTCTGTGCTCGGTGTATTTTGGAACCGGCCTCTTGTCTAGAAGTAAAAGTGCATATAATGAAACTTCGCCAGCAAACCTCTCTCCAAGCCATAGAGAAGGAATTTGACTTGGGAAGGCTGAAGCATCATAAAACCTGCTCTGGTGGTAACAGCTGCCTTGTAACTCTGCTGGGGTGTAAGGGGATTTGGGGAGCTGGGTGCTGCTCTGGTTATGGGGAGTTTTGGGGGAAAAGGAAGGGCTGGCAGGGGGGAGCCGCTTTTTTTTGGCCTTCTCTGTAGGAGGGAATGTGTGCCTAAGTGGAAGCCTGAAGTTTGGACGTAGGGGGAAGGGGAGGAGGTTGGGAATACCTATCAGTGGTGCAGAATGAGCCCCCGCACGAGCAACAACAACCCCGTGTCCAGGTGAAAGGCTGAGTCCCGGCAGACCCCAAAGCAAGACCCAACACCCGATTACTAGAAAAGGCGAGTTCAGATGCAGCTGAAGGGAGCTGAATTTGGGCACGGGCCGTGGCGATGCCCTGTGCCTCGTTCACAGCCCCGCCGCTTGCTTTTCCTTCTCCCCTGAGGAGACTGAGATTGCTCTCAGTAAAAACACTTGACCTGCCTCGGTGCCACCGTGAAAACTTTATTCTCTCTCTCAAGGACAGCGTTGTTGTGTTTCTTTGTTTGTTTTTTTTTTCCCCTTCAAAGTAAATTAAATGCTACGGTCGGAGCTCCGCTTCGCACGCACGTACGGGCGCGGGCGCGCACCTTCTCACCGGGGACCGGCGGCGCTCGGAGCCGAGCGTGGCCGGGCCAGGGTGGGAGCGGGCGCTGGGGAGCTGGCAGTGAGACGAAGCGGGGATGAGATGAAGGGGAAACGCGTGAATCACAGCGTGTCGGGGGAAACGCATGAATCATGTTATGGTGGCAGCAGGTTTGACGGATTCCACCGGCATTTCTCTACCTGCGGACCCACAGTTTCAAGTCCCCGAAACCCCCTCACGGTGCCCGGTGTGAGCCGTGGGGCGGTGGCACCCCGGGAAGGTCCCTCGCTGCCCTCCCCGGCTCCCCATTTCCATCCCAGCAACCCTTTGCACCCCAACATGGGAAAACTCAGCTCCGGCTCCCATTGCTGCAGAACTCAGAGGTGGGGGAGATGATGTGGCTGCCCGTGGAGGTCGTACAGCCACGGAGAGCATCAGGTGCTTTTCTTCCCCCCTGAGGTCTTCCCCTGGCTCCAGGCTGTGTAAGCCTGCTTCTGGAGCCCTCTTTGCCTGGTCACCAACCTTTTTAGGACCACGTGGCCTAGATCCAGGCGAATCCATTATTGCACTGAGAAACACAAGTCCTGATTGTGGCTTTGCGTCCTATTTGCTGTATCCTAAATTCAGACCCTGCCTTCACGTACCAGTCTCTAAGGACCACAGATCCAGGCCAGGTTTAGCGATGCTGGTACCCCATAGCCTAAAATTCCTCCTCTTGACACTGGAGCTTTTGGGGAAAATGGAAAATCCTCCTCTTCCTTCCTTCCTTCTGGTTTCTAGGGACCGCCGCGCTCCTGCCCCCACTTACAAAACCATCCCCGTCCCTCCCCCCCAGCACCCGCTCGTCACCGGGGCGTCCTGCGATGGGCAGAGAGCGTCATCCCGAGGGGTAGTAGGGCACGTCGCTGTGATAGTTGTAGTCAGGACATACTTTCTGCACCAGCCTGTAGTCTATGCTGTAGAAGGTGATGTAGATGCAGATGACTTTGAAGGGCTTCGAGCAGACCCAGGAGACGTGACTTTGGGTGTGCTCATGGTAGCAGGTCTTAGATGGGTCGTAAGTGCAGAGCGTGGTCTTCTTGGCACGATCCACTTTCTCGTACTCCACGCGGCAGTTGAAGATTTTGGATTCTTTGGCCTCGATGAAGATCTGTTGCTCCAGGTCGAACTCCACTGCCTTGGTGGGGGGGACAAGGCTGACGGAGATGTTCCCTTGCCCGGTAGAGTTGTGTCGGAAGAAGACGTTGACTGTGCCGTTGCCATGATCAACCACCTTCCCGGTGATCAAGAGGTTCAGCTTCACTGTCTTGATGTTGGAATAGAAATCTCCCCAGCCAAAAATCTTTCTGAGCTTGCCTGAGGCTGGCCCCAAGTCCCTCTGTCCTCTGGGGTGTGGAGCAAGGTCCCGTTCAGACAGGTTGTCCAGGATATCCCATAACTCCCGTGAGCTGCTCACCAGCTCCAGGAGAGTCGTGTTCTGCAGTAAGGTTGGAGTTAACAGGGACTTCGGAGAGAGCAGCCCTCTTGTCTTCTGCACTTGAGCTCTCTCTTGGGTCTTGGGTTCACGGTGCACTGCACCTTTCCCTGGTTCTTCTTGGCCACAGATCACCTGAACATAGCGATGGTGGAGAGTGAGAGCTGGGTGATGGGTGCCTGTCCAGAGTCACCCCACCTCTCCAGACATGACCCAGCTATCCTCTTTCCCATCCTTGCTTTCCTTATTTCCCTTTTCTCTTGCCTTTCCTTTCTACCTCTCCCCGTAGTTGATATTTCCCTTCTGGTAACAGTTTTTCCCCGCTCTCATTCTCCTCTCATGGTGCTCGGGGAGTGGGGGAAAGGAGCCGGGACGGGCAGTGGCACCTCTCTCGGGGCAGAGCGCTTGCACCCGGGGGATCTCTGCAGATGCCGGGGAGAGGGTGCTATGGGGGGGGGGGGGAAGGGGGGGTTTGCACACCCACGACCAGGGTGCCCTCCTCGTGGCCTGTGCACCGATCTCACTGCTGACAGCACGTCCCGCGAACCTCGCTTCCAACCTCCAAACCATGCCGTGGTCTGTCTGGTGAAGAGACGGAGCTGGGAGCAGTGGGACAGCACGAGGGACAGGCGAAGCGCAGAGGTGAGTTCTCACCCCAGGGAGATGCCCTTCGCCTCCCACAGCCCTGCCCGGGCTCCTGTGCAAGCTCTCCTCTTGCCAGCCTGGGGGTTCTGCCT